CAGAGCTAACTATTTAACGTCTCGAAAATGCAGACACTAAGCAAAAATAAAAGAAGCTGATTGACGAAGTCGTATATGGGTGTGGGTGTGTGGTGGGTGTGGGTGTAGGTGTGGGGGTGGGTGTGGGTGTAGGTGTATGGGTGGGTGTGGGTGTAGGTGTATGGGTGGGTGTGGGTGTAGGTATGTGAGTGGATGGATGTGGGTGTGCGTTTGAGCAGGTGATGGTGTTTATGCTATTAATACCCACACCCAGACCCACCCACAACCCACACACCCACATCCACACATCCCTCACCCACACTGACACCCACACCCATATCCACGCACTCACACTCACACCTACCCAGGCAGACAATAAACGGCCGGAAAGGCGTTTAAACGCGTTAAAAAAGCGTTTACACCGTTTTAACTGGTTTAAACGCGTTTACTACTGATTTTTTCACTTTTAAATCGTTTTTACAGTTTATTTTCAACTAAATTTGACAAAACCATTAAAAACGTCCCAATTTCGTGTTTTTTTTCGAAAAAAAACGTTTTAACAGTATTTTTCCGTTTTGCTTCGATTACCAAAAAAACAATCAAAACTACAAAAATTTTATTATTATGCTTATGCTGTCAGTAAATCATGTGCATCGTTACTAACTAGTTGTTAGTAGGTGATAGTCTGCGCTACTAATCTGTTACTAATGAGTAGTAAATTTTTAATTGAGCTATTCTGTAATAGTTATACTTGTTTGAATGTATCTAAATGATGTAACACAACATAGTGAGTAATCAGTCTGGTTACTTTCTAGTAAGTAATAAGTTTTACAATTCGTTGTTTATAAGTAACAGGCAACTGATGGTTAGAACATGTGTCTTTTCCTAATAAACAGCAAAGAATCAGGTCCGATATTTATTATTAGCAAACAGAAATTTTAAACCAAGAAAATTTTTTTATTGTCATTAAGTCGAAGTCAAAATTGATAGCAGTATAACGATCTTACTGAAAATACTTCGCGTAGTGAGTTTACATATTCTATATTGATGTATTGTCAGTGTATCTACTCAGCAATATTCCACTGTCAATTGAAAACCGTTAAGACAAATATTGTTCGGTGTTAATATCTGATGAGAATGTAACAAGGCTTATCTTTGATTTGCCGCAGAGTAACTGCCATAAACTGATTTGCTTAACAGAAATAGGCGTGCAACACATCTCATGCTGAATATCTTTAACAATCAGCGTGTAGACAATTAACGTTATAGTGATTTGTTCAATGAATATTATAACATCATCTTAACCAATATTGGTTTATTTTACTGCACATTTAAGAAGATTAATTCTAGCTCAGTTGTATTTTGTGAATTATAATAAGTGCAGACAAATATTGTTAACGCTCAGAAACTAAATGGAAGGGGGAAATCATCATTAATGTTATTACATGTTAGTATATCATACTAACAACATAAACGATTCCTTCCTTCTTAGATTATATGACAATCATAATCTTCTCTATTTCTCTTTTAAAAGTGCAAGTACATATGGGCAACAATCATGTTTAACCAAGATAAACAAGTTATCCTGTTCTCATATAGCTTATAAGTAAAAAATGTCTTAGAGTTTTACTGTTTCAATAAAAGTTTCAAAACTTAACTATTTTATATTTCATCTAGTTATCATCGTCACATAGAAACAGAGTTATCATCCGTCCACATTTTCAAGAAATTTTTTCCATTCTGCCTTTTCTTTCCGCCCGTCCAGTTCACAGAAAAAGGAAAAAAGAGGTCATTCTTTTATCACTCTCTCGTCCGATTATTCGTCTGTTCTTTTTCTTTGAAATTCATTTGTGTTCTGTTTCGTTCACAGAGTAGTGGCCTAACTGAGTAGGCCATTTTATTTCTAACATATACTTAAAATTAATGTTAAATTCACTATATGTAATGGCGCATACTTCTTTTGTGTAAGACTGGATATGTTCGAATTAGATAAGTTTTTTTCTGCGGAAATCATTCAGAACGAGAGAAAGAATAGGTCACTTACTGCATGGCTATTAATAGTGAGTTTCTGTGAAAAATACTTCAATATTCACTAGGTTAGTGTTGACTTAGACATAACATGTACGATACTTATGACAATACAACTAGCAGAGTCGCTCGCAGACGATAAACATAGCAGGGTCCATTAAATATTCCTCACTTGAAATGTTTCATATAGAATGTTCATCACGAATACGTGTGACATATGAGACGTTTTGAAACAGATGAGTTTTCTACTCGATGAAAAGGGAATCTTAAGTCATCGAAATATGAATAAGCTTTAAAAGAAATATCGTCACTACAGGAAAAAGTAGATAGCATTCTGATGCATAGGTGTGGCTTAATCAATTTCGCGAGCGACTTAATACATACTATAATTATGAGATTTCGTAGTGCGTTGATGACATTTCTAGTTATATCATATCTCTGTACTTTGATATTTTAGAATTTGACCGAAATGAAGTTAAATTTATTAATGATACTTGAAAAGAACATCTGTCTACCATAGTAGTTCCGATTGTAGTTTTTCTTATATTAGAAGCTGGTTAGAAAGTCCGTGCTTTGCCTTTTTATCAATTCCTGTGTTAGTCGTACTATTTTAAATCTGTTCATCAGTCTATCTTATCCGTCACTTATTTGAAACATGAATGGAAATAATTCAGTTTTCTTCTCGTTGATAAACTGACCGATTATATTCAGATTATCATTAGATTAATGTTAAATTGACATATGTTTATTGTTTATACTTTGAAAACAGTGCAGAGAATTTATCTCTCGTCAGTTCGTCTGGTTTTATGTTAAGAGCAAGTTTACATTTTGCCATTTACTTGTTGGTATTTTTTTCTTTTTGTTTTTTTTCTAATAGTGGAATGGTATGACAAGGTGTTAATGCTGTTCGATTAAACCTACATTTTTTATCTTTCTTTCCACTATTGAAAAAAAAACACAAAGAAAAAAATACCAATAAGTAAATAGTAAAATATAAACTTACTCTTAACATAAAAAGAAACGAACTGATGAGAGATAAATTCTCTGCACTGTTTTCAAAGTATAAACTATAAACATATGTCAATTTAACATTAATCTAATGATAATTTGAATATAATCGATCAGTTTATCAATGAGAAGAAAATGTAGTTATAAATTATTGGTACTTCGTCGTTTAGATGAAACGTTTGTTGATCATTAAGAGGCGTGACAAGGGAAATTATTTCAACTGTTTAAACAGTGTCATTAGTCGCCAAAAACGCGTTAAAACAGTTACAATTTCAATGACTCCAAGCGTTTAAACATATAAAACGTGTTAAAAGTTAATTTTTCATAAACTGTTTTAACGCGTTTTTGGCGACTAATGACACTGTTTAAATAGTTCAGATGTTGAGACGTTTAAACGCCGTTTTTGCCGTTTTGTTGTCTGCCCGGGCAGACCCACCCACACCCACAACCCACACACTCACATCCACACATCCCTCACCCACACTGACACCCACACCCATATCCACGCACTCACACCCAGACCCACATCCACACCCCACCCCACCCACACCGACACACCCCTCACTCACACCCACACTCATACCCACATCCACATACTCACGCCCACACCCACACGCACCCATACTCCACACTAGACATGTGCGGGACCAAGTTTTTTTGGTCCCGGTCCCGGTAAATTTTTTTTGGTCTCGGTTTGGGTCTGGGTGAAAATTTTCATTTAGTCCCGGTGGAAATTTTCCTTTTGTTGCTGATTGCGGTGAAATTCTGTTTTTTAGTCCTGGGCTCAGTTAACACATTCGCTATAATGTGATCTAACAGTGAGCCACGCTTCATTTTAACGAGAAACTGTATAGAGAAGTACTTTATTTTTCTTTGTTTTTAGACAGGAGGTTGAACATAATGTTTTATCTGTTCTGCCTTCAGAACTCTTTTTGAGTCCGTTATTCCATAGCATGATGGGTCTTGTTAAAAAAATCAAGACAAAAAAATTGATACTCACAACAGAATGTTTTTACTTTCTTTGCTACCGCATAGCTCGCTTCTCTTGATTGTTGTGCCCTTCCTTTCGCAAAGCAGCCAGTACTGCGTCTGCCGACATTGCCCGTAAATCCTTCCTTTTCTTCGAGCTTGCGATTAGTGAATTCGCGCTTGAATCGGGTTGCTGATTCAACTTCTCGAATGGCATGTCATGCTGAAATGACCTCACAGGACTTTTGCCAAACTACAGAATGGTTACTTTGCTTCATGTGATGTTACAAACACAAAAGAGAAAACGACAGATCAGCATAGGATGAAAAGACCAAGCAGTACATTTATCGCAAGATGAATGCAGACGAAAATGAATCTCTAGAGCTACTCTTTAATAAAACCGAATCACGTCGAATGTGTTAAATTTGGCTTTTGTTCTACACCCAGTCTAAGTAACCTTACTTTTTCTGTTATTTGTCCATAGTCAGAGAAGTTGTTGCAGAATCTGCCGGTTTTAGATCTGGAGCAGTTCTCACTTGTATTTCCGCCGATGTTTCTTATCAACGGCAGACATGACCGGGACTAAATTGTTTTTCGATCCTGGTCCCGTCCCGGTCCCGGTAAAATTCTATTTTTTGGTCCCGGTCCCGCACATGTCTACTCCACACTCACACACCCACCCTAAAATAATAAAAGCTTTTACAAGAGTTTAGGCTGTCCTCTTGATCATATGATTTTTTTGAGAACAAATTTGCAGTTCGTATAGAGATGATTACAATCGCTTGTAAATAAAAAGACCAAAACTGCAAAGACCACAAGTGATGAAAAACATATAGAGGAAGAGACTGAACCAAGCACCATTAATTGATGTTGCAAAATTATGACATAAGAATGTGTCTGCTTTGTATATTATAGTTAATGGTAGAGGACATGCATCGACTGTTGTTTCGAGAACCGTTTTCAAATAGTTTGTGAACTAAAAACAAAAATAAAACAAATTTATTCAGACTGACTGTTTACAAAAATTTTCTAAAACTAACATCATCAATTGTTTGATTAACTACACCAGTTGATAATGTTGGAATGCTAGAAGATATCTTTTCGAATTGTGTCTGAATGTTTGTCCAATCGTTTTTGATCGGTTGTATTTTTTCTTTAACTTGAGTTGACGTAACTTTATCAGATAAATTATCAAGACGACCGATATCAGATCTAATATCAATCGAGTCAATTGATGCATTGAATTTATAGAAGATTTCTTCATTTAATTGATTCATTGCATCATACGTATAATTTTCCAAATGAGTTAAATGATTTTTAAAAAAATATTCACTAAAATGTGTTCGATTTCGACAATCATCGATAACATTTGTGAATACAGATTGTACATCTAGTTCACCAATGATGAACTCATTGGAACTATTTCCAAGTAGTTTATCTAATTCAAATTAAATATAAACTGATCGATTAAATTAAACAAATATATTATTACCAATGAGAAATGAAACAAGAAATGATTGATCATCGTGACCTGTTCGACAAGCACCTTGAGCCAATAAATCAACACCATAGAGAACACCGGTAACAAGAACAATCAGTATCAATATAATCATCATTGGAATAAAGATTATTCGCATACAACAGAGAACAGCTCTTGAAAAACCTTTTGATGAGTGCATATTCGACATTGATCGTTTCGTTTCAATTGATAATGCAGATCGGTGTCTACAAGCATTTTATCCATTATTATTATTCGCAATGAACAAATGAAATCTATCAAAAAATTGCCTAATCATTTATCTTACCAAAGTCTCTATTGAAAAGTTTGTAAAAACCTTTTCATTTACGATGGGATCTGTCTAGATGACTCTTTACTTCCAAGAATTCTTTTTCTACAAAGACTATATAGTGCTCTAGTATAAATGCTTAAAAGATTAAAGTTCCTATCTCTTCATTTAATAGTTATGAATAATTTTTTATATTTTGGTTCTATTCTGTATAAAATACAACACAATAACCTCAATCGTTTTCAGTTTTTTCTTTCTCAAGTTATAGAATTTTGTAGAGATCTACGGACGGGAGTTTTCGGAACTCGGAACCGTCTCGCGGTTCTCTAGAATTTCGTTATTGGAAGGTATACGCGACAAAATTATACTGCTTCACATAAAAGACATTTCTTGTTGTTGTTTTTAACACTTTCTGTCATTAATCTTCTTCTATCATATGTGATGTATGTCTATGCTTTATTTCCAATTCTGTCTACAACAGATAATTTCTTTTTCGTCATCATGTATTACAATCTGTTCTACACTTTGATCTATAAGATTCTGCCCTTCTGTCTTTTTGTCATCAGATATGGAATGTATAATAATTGATGTAGACATTGTCAAAAATTTTTCTCTTTGTTTTTTTTTTCATAACTAGTTTAATAAAAGGTTCTTTTTAAAATATTATGTACTATGCTTGATGGGCGAAATGCAAAGCTATTCATGAACTTTGAAATAAAATATAGGAATTCGAATGATTAAAGGTGGTAGATCTTTTCAATTTTTTCATGCCTTTTACTTTAAGACCAAAGTTATTATTTTGACTATCGAAGTAAGAAAAAAAGCAAAAGAAAAGAAAAAAAGGGAATCTGGTTGATCGAACTTAAATTCACTATTTTACTCATCTAATTGAAGTAGATCGAGAAATAAATTGTATACAAGTATAAAATATGTTGCATGAACTAACCGATATTTTGATGATCGACCATTTTGTTGACAACGACACAAATAACATATACTGATGAGAATAACGAAAGTAATGGGAATGAAGCCAAAAACAATAGTTAATACGAGAAGAATTATTCCTACAAGACGAATATACCATCGAATTTTATCTTCTAAATTCTTATTAATTAACATTTTATTTTCCCATGGTGTTAAATGAGTAAGAAAATCATTACGAATTGTATCAATTAATTTTTTCATTTGTTGATGAAGAAGATTTAATGCTTTAATAATTGTGTCATCGATTTCTTTATCTTTTCCATCTGCATAATCACACAATTTTTGCAATGGTGCCTTTAAAGAATCGATCATATTATTACTTTCACTTTTAATAGATGCAAAAGTAACATATATTTCTGATGTTAGACTTGTGGTTTGATTGATGAGTTGTTCCAATGCACCGATATGTACGACACTATCACTTACTGATTGACGAATTTCATTAAGAAAATATGTTTCTTGAAGTATTTGATCAAATCCTTTGACAAATATTGATTGAGATGCTTTGATTACAATCGAATCAGCTAAAAACAAAAATATTATTCGTCATTAATATTCAATATTTTTCAAAATTTTCTTATGCATCAATTAATATAATAAATTAAAGAACATTGATTTGAATGGTATGTAGAAAATCAAAGTTACCTTGTGTCGAATACTGATCAAGTTGTTCAAATTGTTCAAGTAGATGTTTTAAATATAACGAAATTTCTTTTGGATAAATTTCTTGATTGACTTCTTTAATTGAATCGTCGAGAAATAGTTTTATTCTGTTAAGTTGATAGGCAGTATAAATCATTAGACCAATCACAATTAAAACAATCAACAATAACAATATAACGTAGCAGCATTGTCTCGAACATGTTCGATTCTTCCTTCCTTTACGTCTCTTGAAGTAGAGAAATGTTAATTATTGTTTGAGACAATATCAAATACTTACTTGTGTGAATTTTCTGTTACAACAATGGCTACATAAAATAATGCAAAATAGAACCGAAAATAAAATGAACAAAGCCAAAGCTATACTTGTGTAGATAATAGTTGATGTTATTGGTTTTAGTTTGACAATGGTTGAAGCATCCCACGACTTGATTTTATTTGATGTGACTTGTTTTAAAAATGATCGAACATCAGCTATAGAAAATGTTGAGCGAGCTAATGAGGATGAAATCAATTGAGAAACAGCTTTTCCATTTGGATTGTAATATAAATGGCTAGGAGTATTTGTGATATTACTGACTATTGGTATTGTTGGTAATGAAGAAGATACATTGAAACATGTTAATTCCAAAACCATTGAGAAATATTAATTGACTTTATAGTAAAATAATAATATAGATATTGAAAATTATTTGTCTAACAACACAAAATGATCAATTGGAAAAACAAACATTTTCACATTAATTATAAATAATTAAATAAGGAGAAATTCGATACAAGTAATCGTTAATTTATATTGATGTCTCTTTAGTATTTAATGATATTTTTCCGAACATGAATGCTCTAAGTTTTTAATAGACAAAAACATTTTCTTCGGCAGAAAAATAAAATTTTCACACATTATTTATTATATAGAAATACTGATTAGTTATGACTGATTAACCAATCGAGTTTTGATTTATCTTCAACTTTAGTGTAAGATACAAATAGTCTAAATTTCTATTAAAATTTTTTTTCCTTTCTTTATATCATTTGATAGACTGTGAACTACTGATCATAGAACACTAATTTTCAGTGTTAGTAAAGGCTTTTTTCAGGTTGAATGACACGAAAACTAGAAGAATATCATTTTTTTCAAAATATTCTTCATGGTTTATTTTATGCCTTTTCTGAGCTTCGGAGAGTATTTTTTCAGATTTACGTTAGAATCAGCGACTGAATACAGACAAGTTTCTAAATTGACTTTACCCCCGAAAATCTTTTCATGGTAGTGCTTCTAATCGCAGAGATTACAGTTTTTGGTGTTCAGTCTGAAAAAAAATCATTCTTAGAAGCTCAGAAAATGTATGAAGCAAAATATCGAGCATTCTTTGGAAAAGATGTGTTTTTCGCAGTTTTTGGTCTGAAAAAACAAAAACATTTACCATCGCTTAAAGAAGTAAGTTTTCCTGATCAGTCAAATAATACTATTAAAAGGAAAAACTATTCACTCGAAATTTGTGTTGTCGGCACCTTACTATTCTGAATTTCAGTTCGATGGATAATAAACTTATTTTTCAGTATTAGCTCAAAATCTAGAATGAGTCGACTGAAACACGTGAAAGAACACGAAGAAATTTTTGTGAAATTCACACATATTTTCGAAGAAAGCAGTCGGTATAAGTTTTCATTCGAAGTTTTGCGACTTCTTTCTAGATAAACACCTAAGCGACCGAGAGAAAAGAGACGGCACGAGTTTCTAGAATTGTTTTCAAAATGGATTAAGTTATAATTTTAAGAAATGATGAATATCAATATTTGTAAGCTGATTAATACATACAATAATTTTTATCAATTAATTTGATGATTATTAAAAAAAATATTAACTAAAAAAACAGCGTAGTAAAAAATGAAAAATGGTGAGTGAATAGCAATAGTGTAAATAAGAATAGGGCACTTATAAGAAAAAAAACCTCTGTTCGAAATGCGGTAAATAAATAAGACCAATCTGTACTTTTGTGATTGATTACTTTTGAAAACAACTATTCTATGAAGGATTTTTCACTAGACGTATTCTGTTTTAATTGAATATGGCTAAAGTAAAGAACATGTATGAGTTAGAGATTTCAACCCCAGGGGCTGCTCTAACATGAGTGTTTTGTCTGAGTCTCTTTCGAAACTTATATATCAAATTATAGGGAATATTAGTAATTTGAGGTCTATCATTTTTATCGTTAGACAAATTAGTAGCTCCATCGAATCTAACTGATAGAAAGAGAAACAAAAAAGAAACTGTCAAAAGCGTTCTAATATTAATCATAGGCGACTTGTAAGGTACACTTTACTCTGAAAAACTAACTAATTTATTTTTCAGCTCCGACGACAATTTTTACATTTTCATCGAAAAATGTGTTTGTTATGATGAATCAGCTGTTAAGAAGAGAATAAACGACGTCAACAAACGTATCAAGTTGAATATAAAAGGCTTATTATGGCGGCCCCCTGGGGTTGAAAGCTGTAACTCATATATGTTCTTTACCTTAGCCCTGTTCAATTAAAACAGAATAATATGTCAAGTGACAAATCCTTCATACAATAGTTGTTTTCAAAGGTAATCAATCATGAATGTAAAGATTTGTCTTATTTATTTACTGCATTTCGAACAGAAATTTTCTAAATTTTTTCAATCGATGGCCTGTTCTTTGTTTGTACTATTGCTGGTGACTCATTATTTTTCAATTTTTAATATTCTTTGATTTTTTCATTTAACTTTTTTTTCATCATCATAAAGTTAATAAATAATATTATATATATTAATCAGCTCACAAAACATTGATGCTCATCGTTTTTCAAAATTATAACTTGATCAATTTTGAAACAAATTCATTATTTCCTTTGAAAATATATGTGAGTTCCACAAAATAATGGATTTATAGTCAAACAAATGGTCAAGTACACTCGTAATACTTTTATTAACATGCAAAGAAAAAAATATTACCTACGATCTTCTAAATGATTCAAATCTTCATTGAAATTTTTGCTGGATGAGTTGTTACATTGAAGTCTATCTGAATTCTATTCATACAGTCAATAGTCATTCACATTGTTTTCGATACTGAGCATAATTAGCAACAATTTGTCTAACACATATAACAACACTTATATATGATGAAAGAATCGATGAGTAATTTGGTTGTAAATGTTTTCTTTTTCAAAGAAAAAACTCGATATTATCATTTTATTGAATACTTTTGGTCATAAAATTCATGTGATACAGTTAATAACGACTTATCAAAGCAGTAAACGAATCAAGTATAATTCGATCATAAAAAAAAAAGAATTTCATGCCTTCTTTGTGGATTCGAATCGATCGTTGTCAAAATAGAATTATTTGTTTTAATGAATTATGGAAAATAGAGGAAATCGTTTCACATATATTTGGAATGATATAAGTATATAATATATATATAGAATTTTTTTTTGTTTTTTGTTGTTGAAGAAATCTGGAGATGAGTTAAGGAAGAAATTGAATGAGGAGGGTGTGGGGTGTGGGTGGGTGTGGGTGCCGGCGTAGGTGTGAATATTCCTCTTTTGTGCACCCACCCACCCCCATACACACATACCCACACATGCCCATACTCATACCCACACACTCGCAACCTGAAAAGATTTTGAATTGATCTTTGAATTATTACTAGTAAAAATAGAGAGCAATCCTCGTCATTGATTTTCATTATATTTAAATAATCAATCTTGAATAATGGTTAAAAAATTGATCAATTTAATTGAATTGGATAACTGACTTGATAATTATGTGATAGAATTAAATCATAGTATATTATATCTATGATTGTGACAAACATCCTTAGCAACGGTCTATCACAGACGTGACAGACATCCGTAGCAATGTCTTCTCCATCACAGACCGTGACAGTCATTCTTTGCAACGCCCCATCACAGATGTGACAGACAGCCTTATACAAGCCACAGACTGTGATAGAAGACTTTAAGCAACTATCGGATAATGTATAACTAACATATGATTAGAGCATATATGGAATATTATCCTGTTTGAACTATATAATGTAAAGTAATCTATGGTGAAGAAATATACCCCAACATATATTGAAAAGAACAGTTTTTAAAAGATTTGAAACAGCAGTTACATCGCATTTCACATTTTCAATCCCGCAAGGGATTGCGCTAACAGCTTTTATTAGAATTGTTAGTTGATATTATAAATACGAGTACAATAGAGTTAAAATTTCAAAAAAGTTAAATTAATCTTTCAAATCATTTAGATAAATAATCAACGTAGAAAATTAAGCGGATTAGAAGACATTGATGGAAGTTGAACTCGAGATAGAAATGGTATCTTAGATTGATCCTGATGTTGAGCAGCAGACGAATCATGACGTGCAGGTGTTGACTCTTCACCAGAATTCGATGAAGCCGCTGCATTGCCACCCCTTGAAGTTCCGAGAAGAGGAGTATCTGGATCCACTTCTTTCAGCTGAATAATAAAAAGATCATTGCCCGAATCAAGACATGAGACAACTTGAAATTTTCGAGCAGCAATAAGCAACACCTCATCTTCTGTTGGAAAGAATGAATGTTGTTGAATATCTTTTCCAGAGCTACAATCAATATTAAATAAAGTTCTTGTGCCTGTTTTTCCTAAAAATTGTTCCGATTGAAGAACATGGATTGATCTTGTGCAGGATGAAAATGCCGGCCAAGCAAATATTTTTCCTTGGGGATATTGAGCCCTTAAATCCCGTTTTACACCGCGATAAATCGTTTTAGATATTGTCGGTAATTTTTCCAATGATGCAACAAATAATTTGATATAAAGTTCCCATGGTTTTATTTTTTCTGAATCTTCGGCTCGTAGAGAATTGTTAAGAATAACATAGAAGGAATTTTCTCTTGGTTCCCATTCCATTGAATAAAGCATAATTGAAGCTGATTCATCTGGTGTTAAACCATCCTTTGGTGTATCACATTTTTGTTTGGCTTTAGCAACCATTTCTTTCACATTGGGGACAATTGAAACAAGTGGATCGACAGCTGATTCAATTGAAACAGTTTGCACAGCTTCGAATTGTTCAATTGGTTTCCACATATTTAATGATGGAGCAAAATATTCAATAAATCGAAGGGCATGTTGTGGGATGACACTTCTTAAAAAATTTTCAAACTTTGCGAGATCCAACACTTCGAGTTGAAACATTTCGAAAAAGTCGTGCACTTGCTAAAGAATTGTATGATTCCTACAAGAATTTCAAGAAAAATATAAATTAATATTCACTTTCTATTATAGATGAATATAATTCTAAAGAATAATTTTCAAAAACAAAACGAAATGACATTCTACAATGCTTTTCTATTGAAATAAACTAAATTAATACGAAATATTTTATCGAAATGATCGTTTACTTTAGATTCTAAAACATATTTTTATTACTAATTAAGATTAGTTTGATCGTTTATATTCAATACTAACCTGTATTTGTGACTAGCGGAAGTACCCGATGTTAGTCAAAATAATTTGATAGTACTTATTTGGCGTAAGAGAAAACGACGTTACTATGGTCTTCTTCTAGTATCTTCTAATTCGCCTTGAAAAATCTTTTTTGAGAATCACTGGGATGAGTCTATTTGGTGAGCACTTTAAATAATTTCTAGATTAATCATTTTGGAATATTTTCGTGGAAATGGGAAAAACTGATTAAAGAAATATTATGGATCATGAAAGGGTGCTAACATCGAATTGTTCAGCGAATAGATGAATAAAATCTAAGCATACCTTCATGCCCTAGAATCTCTTGTACCCGATGACGAAAATCGTAGATCTGTACTTCCTGTCGTTCTCGATTTTTTGAGAAAAACAATCATACGCACAGTCTCCCTGGAAAAGGCATTTACTGCAGAAATCCAACAAAGAGAGGCCCAAATACCGCCCTAAGTTGGAAATTTTGGATCGAAAACTACCCTATGACCTTCCTCCAGACGAAAGGGTATTTCATGCAAAATTTCATTGCATTTGGTCGTACCGTGTCCAAATGCATGAAGAACAGACAAACAAACAGACATTCTTCTTTATATATATAGATTAAGAAGTGAAAAAGTAAATAATAACTACCTACGCTTCATTATTTCTACCCGTTTTATTTATATACATAGGAAAGAAGAAAAAGCTAACGAAAATAATGATACGCAATTTTTTTGCACCTAAATATAACCGATGATTGTAAGTGCAATTTTCTTGTGTTATGGCGAGATCAATGATATACTCTACATACATAGTAAACTACAGTAATATTCAAATAAAGGATCGCTGGTAACTTTTATATTTCACCGATTAAAATAATCAATCATGGTTGGTAGAGTATTGATAATTTTGTTTTCATGCAGAAAATGTAAACAAATACTGCCTTGAAATAACTTTGTTCAGTTAATCAAAGCAGAGCTGAGCAAAATACTCGAAATGGTCGTGCTTGTAAAGGATGATTCATAAGCTTTGAGCCTTCTCAGAAAACCTGCTCGTCTTTCTTATAACAAATCCAAAAATACTCAAACTTTGGCATCTAATCCTTCATGACAAGGCAGATATTGCTTTAAAATTGCAAATCTCTGTCTCTAGAAATAAGGGAGATATAGAGGTTAGCATTTTGAATTTTATTCCATGACCCAAAAATGAAAAATACCAAGGATGTTTACGAAAACATGGAGAAAAAATGTACAAAGAATAGTATCAAAATAGATATGTGTTCGAAGAATGATGTAGGACAAAATTACATTCAAGTGTCAGTCGGATATTTATAGTAAATCTCCAAAATTGTCTTTAATATCCCATGTAAAAAAAATAAGCGTAGAAATCGGATTAACATCGATTTTCGAGAAAAAAATCGCGAAAAATCGATTTTTTGGGAGAAATCGGCGTAATCGATTAAAACTATGTCTGTTTTTACACTAAATCCATTTAATTGTGCTGCTTTTTTATTCAAATTCTGAAGAATTTATCAAAATATCTATGCAGATGAAATCTTTTTAAAATACAAGAGAAACAACAGACAAAGCTGGTAATGATTTTTCAACTTGATATAGAGGTTCATATTCCTTTTTCAAATATGTTTTAATTTTTTGCTAAATGAATCGTGGTGGTTGGTTTAGGAAGAGTGACAAAGTGTGGGAAAGCGGAAATAAAAGCTAGTGTTTGTTGACGTTGGATAATACACACATTTTTCGATAAAATCAGTTATTTCGATGAGACATGTTTCTTTTGTTGTACGGTCACCCTATCTTATATGCTGATAATGATATTCGCTGTTGTTACAAGTAACAGTGCAGCGAAGTCGCTCGGCTTTTTTTAGATAATCGATTAATAATAATAGTTGGTTGTTGTTGACAGAGAAAATAGAGCAGATACATCCAAACATATTCGTACTGTTACGACGGAAGATAATATTGCTGTCATCTGCTATTTTTTCTTATGTGTACTGCGTTGTTGATAATCGTATATGTCCAATGTATAATACGTCAAAATGCTTGATTATAGCATGAGGAAATAAAATTGATGGTAGTAGATATTGTTGTTTTGTCTCGTGCATCAAATGGATGTTGAAGTCAGGGTCGCCGCTTGAATAACTGAGACGTGATGAGAGAAACTGTGCCAAATTGTGACTTAATAACGATGTGTTCACGTGGACCATGGCAGCTTGCAATAGATAAACCGCAGGAATTATTTCTTCTGAATGTCAACGAGTACTTTTTGTTGTACGAGTTATCTGACCTAAATAAAAATGAATGTTCAAATATGAATTCGGCAGTAAAAAACATGAAAATTAGTTTAAATGATACTGTATAAAATGATTTGAATCAGAATAGCCGGCTTAAAATGGTTTATTTCTAGCAGCCAATATTTAAATTGAAACAGATACTTTTAGACTATTGTAAAAATTCAATTCAATCTGTTATCTTTTTTTCATTTTATTTAATTTCACCGAGTGAAATGGGACAAAATCAATTTTCTCTAACGAATCAGAGTCATCCATTAAAAATCTAATCGATTTGAATCGATTATATATTAATCTATTAAAACTGACTTTTGGCCGTAGAATTCCTGCAATACGTAGAAGAAACTATTGATTCTCACCGATTCCTTCTTTAATACGTTATAATCAGTTTTCTATACGAAATTCAAATACTCTATTAAAAGCGTAAGAAATTAAAGTTCAATGAAAATAGTCAATGAATATGTAATCTTATCTTGAAATGGGAGACTACATTTTAATCAATATATTCGTTCATTTATCAACGTCCATAGGCATACATTGTAGTTGGTATTATGGATGTTCCTAGCAGGATAATAAAGTGCATCATCGAAATTCAGTTTTTCTTTTAAAGAAGTAACTGCTACTCTAAGTCAGTAGTACTAGTTAAAAAAGCTTCTCTCAAGGCGAGGCACAAATTTATCAATTGCAAATTTTCTTCATGTGAAATATATTTAATAGCAAGCGATTAAGCAGTGCCATTTAAATTAGTTTCAATCGAATTTATCATCAAAGCTACCCATGTAAAAAACGACAAAATATCTGATTTTAATTGATTTTGTTTTTACTGATTAGAAATCGATTAAAATCAAATTTTTTCTCGTTTTTTACATAGGCTGCACGAGCATCTAACCTAGCATATCTTCGAAGTTTAAAGTGGTAAAACTGGTGAGTGGTCCAAAGTCATTGACTGTTGCTGGAATGTGATAAATAGAGTGCACGACTGGAACCAAGGGGGAAACCGCGTACTTGAAATAGAAAAGGGTGTATGTGGGTGTGGGGTGGGTGGGTATTGTTCTTTTCTTAATTTACACCAACACCCACAACTACACCACACCCGCACTCACCCACACCCACACCCATATTGATATACAATAAAGTGACTAAAATCATATCATTGGATATATCTCCGAGGGTGTGGGTGTGGGTGTTGTTCTTTTCTTAATTTACACCAACACCCACACCCATTCCTACAGTGGCGTCGAATCCAGTGCAAATAAGAACAACACGGACGGCCATCTGAACAACACCTAGAATAGCTGTGGTAGCAACGCTTAACCACGGAATAAATTTCTTTTCACTTATTTCAAGTAAATATTCGATACAACGTCCCGAAAACTCGAAAAGTTCCAATTCTGGTTTTGCATCATTTATCAATAATTCACTCAAAGGTTTGACTTTGTTGATTTCTATGTTTTCTTGATCGATTGGAGCTATTTCAATCAATCTTTGTGCTTGAGAACTTGTTAAGCGTTTAAAATTTAAACTAAAATTTAGATTCTGCTTTCTTATTTGTTCAATACGAATTTGAGCCGTATTCGTTTCTAATCTATCAAAATGAACATTTATGGATTCATCGTTTAATCCATTCAAAAGACTTTTGAATTCGATATCAATAAAATGAATATTAAAAGTTGCATTCGGACAAATTGCTACAATCTTTTCTATTGTTTCTTTCTTTAGATCTATTAATTTTAAAGCTGTTTCATTTTTCTGTAGTTTGATTGATCTTTGTTTCTGCTGTTGTCTTATCTACTAGTTCTTTCATACTGTTAATATTTTTTTCTTCGTTACTAAACGAACACAACTCTATATATTCGATGTCTGTAGACAGAATAACTTCTAGCACCTGCTCTTTTCTATCGAATAATAATATTTCAACATTTATATTCTTAGAATTTATTTTTTGTAATTTTTGTGAAATTTTTGCTCCACTCAAACCAAGAAATTCGACAGTTAATTATGAGGGTGTGGGTGTGGGTGTGGATGTGGGTGGGTGTGGGTGTGGGTGTGGGGTGTGGGTGTGTGGGTGAGTGTGAGGTGGGTGTGAGGTGTGGGTGGGTGTGTGGGTGGGTGTGGGTGGGTGTGGGTGTAGGTGTGTGGGTGGGTGTGGGTGTAGGGTGGGGTGTGGGGTGTGGGTGGATGGGTGTGGGTGGATATGTCGCTGTTGGTTTGGGTTTGGGTAGGTGTAGGTGTGGTGCGAGCGTACGGGCGTTAAGTAGAAATAGGGTTGATCTCCACATCCACGCATATCCACCCCACATATTTCGTCGAAATTGACCTTATTATTCAAAATTGTAGATGGCCTAAATGGATCCTTTTTTCGGAGGTATAGATATGGTTATTTCGCCAATGTCGTTGATAATGATAAATAAAGTGACGAGCGGCCCATACTTCCATAGAGTCAATGACTTGATACTTCAGTGAACATCAGTGTTCCAGTAAAACCTGACATCGGTGCAGCCACTGCAATCAGTGCAGTCAGTGTCAGTTTATTCACTGGTTCAATGGACATCAATGTCAGTGTGTCACTGCAGTCAGGGTGCTCAGTGCAGTGACATCACCGTTAGTATTTCACAGTTTTCACCGAAACTGCACATCCCTTGATACTTCCTTTTTAGTTGAAAGATAGATTTTGATTATTCTCTTTGTTCAAATCTCAGAAATATAAAATATTCTTGCAATATTGATGATATTTATTGTTTTTGACTTTATTTCTGCTCATTTTGTAGTATTTTATTTTTAGAATGTCTACTGGAAATAGGTTCGATAGTTAATGTTTCACATCTTTTATTAGTTGATAATGAGAACTTTCAAAAAAGTTACTTTGTGAGAAGATAGACTTTTCTATTATATAAAAAAGTATAAATAAATTGAAATTCAATAAAAGGAAACGTACAATGGCATGAGTGATCTAACTTTGCTTTTCTTTTGAAATCTCAAAAGAAAAAGAAAATTTTCTAACTTATTAGAGGATACTATAGAAAGTAATCATCAGCGATCAGTTTTTTTCTCTTTTGTAAGAAAATTTCGGAAATTTTTATTTTCACGTAGTAAATAATTTCTTGTATGAAGAGCTGGAAAATGATTCTTCAGTTGTACTTCTTTGTGAAATTGTTTTGAAACTTAATATTGATCATTTTTCTAATCAAAACTTTATCATTGAATCCAAAAATTAGTTTTTTATCTGATTCATCTTGATGTAAGGATCCAGGACACGTTAATTCATCAACTCGAGTTTCTTTTGATGAAGACTTCTCGTTTGATTATAAAAACTGATTCATTGCACGTATTGACCTTAGTATCATTGTGCATCTTCATGCATAGAATTTGAAACAATATCAAAACTTTGAAGATTAACTTTTTTTTATTTACAAAATGTGATATTTGAGGGTGTGAGTGTGGATGTGTGTGGGTGTGGGTGTGGGTTGCCATAAACAGATGGTGGGGTGTGGATGTGGGTTGCCATAAATAGATGGTGGGGTATGGGTTGCCATAAACAGATGGTGGGGTGTGGGTGTGGGTCTTAGGATAGAAAAAAGCCATCCCCACGCCCACACCCACACTCACACCCACACCCACACACACATCCACACACACACCCACACCCACCCACACCCATACCGATGTCGATCGTAAATAAAAGTGTAAATTTGATCTACGTGGTGATAACATATGTCTTAGAGGAAACATGCTGTTAAAGAGATATCATTTAGAATCAGTGAATGCCGATATTTGTCATAAGTTTTTATTTTCATATATTTCAAAAAAAAAAATAACATTTTTTTTTTCAAAACTCATTTAATGTTATAAAACTGCATTGACTAGTCTCTTTAGTCGTTCAAAGAAAGCTAGTTACGTTTGAAAAGTAGCTCAGTTGTGAAGGTGATTGCGTTACGAAAATACTTTATCGTTCATTGTTATTCAAAAACAAGATGTTCCCGATTGTATGAATGACTGCTCTATGTAAAGAATTTATTGACTTTTTTTAGGAACATTCCAGTTTCGCTAGGAGAACATGACTGAATCACGCTCTCGAATGACTAAATCTTATTTTTTGCAAGAAAATAGAAATATCGTATCGTTTTTCTTATATTATTGTTTTCGATATATCTTCTGATAAATAAAGAGATTATACATAAGATATTTTTCCTTGGTTGATTCTTTACAGCTCACACTGGGTTTTTTATTCTGAGAACCTATAGCTAAATTTCTCAAGAAATCAAACTAAATAAAACATAGCCATTTTTAACAATGTGACTCCATCACGACATCCTTTTCTTTCGCAAAAACTTTTGTTTAATATTCTTCAAATTTGTTTTTCTTTTCTATATATAACGTATTATCTTAATTGTCACTTTTTTACAGCGTGTTTTCTTTGTAGTTTTAGTTCAGCTAAGCTTTTAAACTCTATATATAAGGCCTTTCTCTCCCTCAAAAATTGATCTCAGCCCAGGTACCTGCAAATGGCATGAAATTTTCAGGAAATGTTGAGGCTATTGTGGAAAAGCTATGGTAAAATTTTCAGCCGTGTACCATGATATTTGAGTAAGATACTGACCAAACAAGGGTCAAAAATAGCCAAGGGGGTAAGTGCAGACGCCTAGCACCCAGCACAGGCTCAGTACCTACCAGCACCTACCAGTACCTACCAGTACCTACCGGCACCTACCAGCACCTACCAGCACCTACAGCACCTATTAGCACCTGCCAGCACCTACAGCACCTGTTCGGCACCTATACCGCATTTCACTATGAGCACCTACGGCACCTTCAGCACCTGCAACCATTGTTTCATTATCTTAAGTACTTAAGACAATAGAATAGTTGTTGAAGATGCTGAAAGTGTCGTAGGTACCGTAGATGCTCACTGTGGAATGCGGTATACGTGCTGTAGGCGCTGAGCAGGTGCTGGGTGCCTGCACTTTCCCCCTTGAAAATAGCTCATTTGGCAAACCAAATTTCTTAGTCCAAGTCCGTGTAATGTATTTAAACTTTTTTTTGTTTGAAAGAGCATATCAGGATGCAATGCAGTGCAAATCTCTTTTTTTTTAATTCTTACTTCTCAAGAGAAAAAAAGCGATTGAAAGTTCAATGACTCAAGCAACCCTTAAGAAATGAATGTCGAGTTATATAAATGTCTGTATATATAATTAAAAAAAACTTAATTAAAAAAACCGCTCTGTACTGCACTGCGTCTTGACGCACTCTTTCAAACAAAAAAAAACACATTGAATGAGTGTCGACAGAGAAATTTGGTTTGCGCGCTCAAGAAACTATAAACGGAGAAAAAATGAACAAGAGTTTCTGTTTTTTCTGAACACATCTTATTTTTCGAATAGAGAATGACAGAAATCTTCAAAACTTTTTGGAAAAAATCGAGGTGCCGAGTGAAAATTTTTGTCGCCTATGAAAGATCAAATGACGAGCTATCTTCCTATTTATTTATCTTAATATTGACCATTCTGACGAAAAATGACTATTTTTTAAGAAGGAAGGTCTTGATTGATTAGCATAGATGGTGTCGCAAAACCATTGATTGGTCGCAAGAAATAATAATAAGAAATTATTATTGCATCATCATTAACCAACACATGTTGTAAACAAACTTATAAAAACTGGGTTTTTTTTATTTGTAATGAAATCGACGTTTTCACGAGAGAGAAAACCAAAAAAAGTCGAAAAACAATCAAAAACTGACATAAGAAGAGTAAATCGTCTAAATCGCCGATTTTTTCGTAATCACCATTTACTATCAGTTTCATCGAAACAAAAGAACACATGAGTAATCATTCAAAACAATATACTTGTCTGCATCTTCTAACTTTATAAGTTACATTTATCAGAGCAACAGTCTCACTGTTTTATACAAAAAAATATTCAGCACTTCCTTCTGTTTTTGTCCAATAAATTTGATTAGTTTATATCAAGTAGCATGTTTTGTTTACCGATTGGGAATCATGACCAATAGAGAAATATGTTTTTTTTTAAGAATATTGTAATCATGACATGGTGAATGATTTCATGTGAGACTTACACAAATAAAAATTTAATTATTCTACGTAATAGTAATTACTACGTAGAATATTTATCACATATTGTGTATGTTATTGCACCATGTGAGTCCTGTAATCACCAAATGATCCTTATCTATCGTTTTTTATTACTTTCGTTTGGAATTTTACATAACCTTTTGAAACTAAATAAATACGTATACTTTAAAGAAAGCAATAATATTTGGTTGGATTTTTTCTTTCTGTATAATCGACTGTTATTGCAACGGTTTTTTTCGTTCTATGCGTTTTTTTTAACATATTCTGTAAAAAAAAGCACACCTTTTCTCGTATAAATATTCTTGTCTCTACAGGACCCTACATAGATTTCATATTCTTTGGTTTAGTATAATTAGCTATGGCTGCTCAAAGCGAAACTCAAATTGAATGGTATACAATTACTTGTGGCACATGCACTTTTACATTACCCAACAGATATCAAGAAATATGCCCTATTGGAAAAGGTGCTTCTGGTGCCGTGATGTAAGTTTCATAATTGATTTTATTTTATTTTTCTAATCATTGAATTATTCTTTAGTCGTGCCAAAGATACAGTACATTTGATTTTGAACATGGAAAAATAAATATGAAATATATTGTAATTTAGGAAACCGGTCAATACGTAGCTATTAAAAAACTACTTCGACCCTTTCACAATTCAGATCGTGCAAAACAAACCTATCGAGAACTGAAATTACTCATGTATCTATATCATCCGGATATAGATGTGTGTGTGAAAAAATTCTCTTTGTATCAGTATAACTTGATTTGTATTTTTCTCTATTATAGATTATACAATTGTATAATGTATTTACACCAGAAAAAAATGTGGATGATTTTTCAACATTGTATGTTGTAAAAATACCATTTTTTAATAAAGATGTTGATATTTTCTCTTTTTTTTACAGATATTTTGTCTTTAATTTTGTTGATTATAACTTACGTCAAGTTATTAAGGGTGGTAAACCATTCTCAGAAGATCATATTAAACAAACAATCTACTCACTACTTCGTGCTTTGAAGGTATGATGAATTCAATTATAATCTCTCACTAATATATTATTGTTTTCTTTCTTTTTTGTCTAGTATATTCATTCAGCTTATATTATTCATCGTGTAGGTGAAACAAAAATATTTTCTATGTTCAATATTGTTGCTTATGTTGTTAAAATAGGATCTGAAACCAGAAAATATTGGAATAGATCGAGATTCAAATGTTGCAGTAAGTATTGTACTGATGTCACAGTTTAAGTATCAAAGTTAGTTAAACTATCACTTATTAACAATTTTCTTACTTATTTTAACTTATTATCATTAATGAAGTGAAATTAGTATTGTGTGTCTCTTTTAGTTTGTGTTTTACAAGTATAAAAACCCATTTTATTTGGTCGTCGTCTAAGACATTTTCGAGAATGAGCGTTGTTTTTTCCATTCAATTTCCATTGATTAACCTATTATTTGGATAAACTGAAAGATAATTATCTCTCATAAGGACAAAAGACGTTTTGACGGATGACAATAGGAGAAAATCTAGTTCAAAGTACACAAATGTTTACTACCGTTTGTTCGTTTTTGATCGATTTCTGATTATGATTTGGAATATTTATTGAAAAAAAAGAAACATCTGTTTAGTCAAGGAATAGCTATTCAATGTTTTTATCTCGCGTACACAGAAAGTTGTATATTAACAAAATTAAAAAAAAGCTTCTGTCGTCTACCCGAAATATGCTACACGACGCACTGCACTCGAAAGGATAATATTTATGTGGACTGAAATGAGTTCGTTGTTGTCATATTGCATATCAACAGTGGATAATTTGTTTCAGAAAAATCTGAAGAATGCAATATTAGAAAAGAACCGTTTGAATTCAAGGATAAAATTTCATGACTGAATCAATGCTATTTGTCTTCGAATTTGTGATAGGATATTTCATTCGTTAACAGATAGTAGCAAAAACAGTAAAGTTTGTATTTTTGAAGATATTATGTCGATAATTAAAAAGAAAAGGATAAGAAAAGCTAATCACCGCCCTGATTACATATATGAGTGAAGAACACTACCATGGTACCGTTGGAGAAAGATAATCAATAAATATAAATTTAATAAAAGGAGAAAACCGATTGCTGTATTCTATAGATAGACGCCGATTGTGTATCATATAATATTTTTCCATGTTGAAGTCGATATCTCTTTGCTATCTTCATATATCAAATAGTCTCAGCATATGAATACCTCAACAAATATCACTCTTCTTAAAAAAATATTCGTATGCATTAATACAGTTTTCTAAATGATCAATTTCATTTTGTCAAAGTTGACGTTTCTTTTCGACTTCGATTGTAGCTGTTCAACATGTAACCTCATTTATCGATAAGCTTCGTAAAATATGTCTTAATCAAATGGAATTTGAATACCATCTAATCTTAAAATAGATCACTATTCATTGTATCTTCTGCTATTGTTTTACAGATTCTTGATTTTGGCCTAGCTCGTATTGCATCAGATGGTATTCAAACTGGTTATGTTGTTACTCGGTAAGCCAGAAATTTTGTTTTTATTTTATAAAATATAAAAAATTTCCTTTATTAGGTGGTGGCGTGCACCAGAAGTATTTATCAATTGGGAACGATACGATGAAAAACTTGATATATGGTCAATTGGTTGTATAATGGCAGAATTAATAGTACTTCAACCAATTTTTCCTGGACAAGGTTATCTTGATCAGTTAGATAAAATATTTGATATAATCGGCACACCAGATATTACAACATTACATGAATTAGCCACTGAAGGTTTGTATCAAAAAAATGTCATACGAAACTCATCTCATATATTAAGTGTTGATAATTTAAGTTTGAAAAATACAATTCTTCATTCATGTTGAATATCAAAAAAGCTTTTGATATCTCTTAGAGTTTACTCTTATAACTTCATACAAGTGATATTATGTACTAGCAAATTTTAGAGCCACGGAAGTATATCAGTCTACTGAAACCAAAACCAAAGCAAGATTTCAATCGACTATTTGGTTTTCAATATGATCCAGCAACAAATGAACGAATATCGGGTGTTTCACCAAAAGGTAGAAAATGAAAAAAAAAACATGTAATTTCATCTGTTTTCTTTTTGATTAAAGGTGTTGATTTACTTGATCGTCTTCTATCTTTTGATCCTCGTCAACGTCCAACTGCACAGGAAGCACTGGGTAAATTATCATAATATAACTGCATAGTCGTTTTTTTTGTTTGTACATCGGATTTATACTTTAGCCCATCCATTTCTGAAAACATATCATAGTCCAGAAGACGAACCCACAGCAAATCCTGTAGTTGACGAGCATCAAGACGCAGAATATAGTGTAGCAAAATGGAAATGTAAGTTATTGAAATAGAGAATTGATTGTTGAAAATCATTTTACTCAAATATTATTATTCTTTTTTTTGTTCTAATAAAATGTATTTGAACAACAAAGAAAGAACACAGCTGAGATGGGAACAGTAGCGATTTTGATCGTGAAGTCTGCTGTTTTCTTCTCGGATAGAAAATTGTCTCGCATTCAACAAAAACAAATTCTTTGAAAGATTCAAATCTTATGGATAAGTGATTAGAGCCTACCAGACAATAAAATAGTGTTTGTCGTTAAGAAATGTGTTTTACACGAGTAACAAATATGCAAAATTTATTCGAACTATCATAACAGGAACAGCAGTTTAAGAATTAGATAATTGTTAAAATGATTTTTTTTAAAGATCATCATGATCATAAAAAAGGATACAATTTTTCGTAGATTTCGTTAAACATATTTTCATTAATCGCATTGAACCAATGAATTCTGCTACCAAATTAGTTGAGGTTCAATCAACAATAGAAAATGTTTGGGATATATGTAAAGAAAGATAACAAGGACAGGAATACACTGATATTGAACAATTGAACGATAACATTAAAATGTTCTAGAATAAACTTATTGTTTATAGAGAAAATATCAGTATGATATAAATTAGTAATACTCGATTGAAATGGTAATTATGTTAGCAGATCTATACTTTTTTAATTTCAAAAAGGTAGATTGTTGCATAAAAATATAATCAAAATCGTGAGGAAAATTGAAGAAATACTACAAAATCTTGTTGTAACATTTTCTCATCTACTGAGAAAACTATAAGCCTGAAATTTTATGATCATTTAATAGTGAAGAAGTGCACTGATATATTAAATTTTCGAAGAGTTTTCTTTTGGTTGAATGCGAGAATGATATATTTTAAGATTGCTTCAGAAATTCTGAAATAATTCTTGTATTGTTCATTACGAAGAAGGTGTATGGATAATTTTTCTCAAAAAATTTTTAATTTTTAATTCGAATTTTTCTTTATAAAATTCAAGAAAGATCCAATGTCGAAAACGATTAGTTCATTTATATATCTACTTCAAATGTTTATTATTGTTTTAGCTATTGTTTGGAAAATGGTTCAAGACTTTGTACCACCACAATTTCGTATCAATGATAATCCTAATACGATTCACGAAACAATATGATGAATAACAAAAGAGTATTAGTAGTTCAAAGCTATAACTATTGACACATTCTTATTGATAACATTTTTTTTTTGAGGTTCAATTAAGTTTTTGTTGTTGTACTAACATATTACTCTGGAATTTTCTTTAGTACAGAATTCAATTCGAAAGTTCGGATTGAGTAAATGAGAAATGTTTTGTTCTTTCGTAGTGGAAAAAAATTTTTCTATTTTTTTAAACTATCTTTCTTTTATCGATTACAGTGAATAAATCACTATAAATATGATTTTTATTGCAGTTCTGACTTTGACACTGGCTTCGAATTCAGAATGGGAATACAAATTATGATTTCTTTTTTTTAGAATAACTTGACTGATCTTATGTAAGGTTTGTATATTGTATAATATCATTGTGAATATGATTGAGAAAATAAGAATAATTTAAAATACCCAAAGAGGTGCAATTGGGAATGAGTTTTTTTCAAGGATCTCATAATTCTAATACGTACAAGATGGTCATTTTGTTTTTGATAAACATATAAGCATGTTTGTTTATGATAAACTGTGCAAAGGTTCCGATGCTGTAAATTGTTTAAGAGTTGAAGAGGAAAATTGTCATCGAAGTCAAATCTGTGAATTCGGGTATCTTTCAGATTACAATATTTGATTTTTATACTCATGTCGAACGCTGACTAGGCTCCTGATTGGGTACTTATTTAGTTTCCGTAGCATTACATAAAAATCTATTGTAAATATTTATCGATTAAATGGTTAGAAACATTCTAAGGCCATGTTCTAAAAAACAATCAATGTTTGTGTGACATACACATTGCTAAATACCTTAAACTAAGCGCATTTAGTATGAAAATAAGGACAGCATTGGTGAATATTTAGTATAACTGATTTTTGTATTAAAAAATTTCATATTAATTATAGAAAAGAGTCTACAAATAGACATTGATTTATCAAAGAAAGTTAGGATTCGGAAAAAATGATAATATTCGAAGGATGTATTGTTATATTGAAAAGAATTATAGGTCAAGTCAACATTGATTTTTAGATCTATTTTTTTCAAATAAGTGAATGAGAGTCTGTTAAATTAATAAAACATCGTTTTCTTGAAAACCTTGTTTACAAAAAATATGCGTTTGTTGAAGAACGTAGTAGTCGGTCAATTAGTAGATTTATTAGACTTTTATATGGCATGTAAAGCTTTGAAATAAGTTGAAGAGGTTGATTACAGTTGTTGCGATGATGTCGCACGTTAACATATTCACTATATTCTTGTTATTCTCTATCCTTTTTCATCTTCTTTAATCTTTAATTGGTTTCTCATCTTTTCGTTCTTCATCATATACATATTATATATGTTATGTTTGTTTTCATTCCACACATAATAATGTTTGTGCATATACATCAGCACATACATATAACATCGAATATATATATGTCTAAGTGCAAACAGGAAAGAAAGAAAACGAAACTCTAACAATTGACGACCCTGCAAAACAAAATCAAAGAAAACCAACAACAATAAAAGCAAACAAAAAATTAAATTATTACTTGGTTAAATAATATTACAATTTATATTAATCAGAGCCTCTATAAAATTGAGACTCGCATATATTCGTATCATATAATAAAGCCTCTTGTACGGGGACTTGAAATTATTTTAATATCAGAGCCTTGAAAAAAAAATGACTCGAATTTTTTTTAACTATGCTGAATTTTATTCGTGATATCCATATTTTTTTTGGGAGATTTTTTACAATTTTTGCGGTCGCTTACGAATAATGACTCGAATTGTTTCTTTAGCATTATAATATTCATTTGATTTACCTACATAAATTATATTTTACCAATAGGAAAATAAATTTTAAATTAAAAGAAGGGGGAATCAATATAAAATTAGTTTTAAAATTATTATTACTTTCAAAAGTCTAAACAGAGATTCTAAAGAGAATTTCGTAAGTACATCTTTTTGTGTACTCAAAAAGTGAGTACATTCTAGAATCGGTCAGTGTGTCCGGCAGTTTACACGATAGCTTTTGAAAGGAGAGTCCGATCGCGATGAAATTTTCTACACAGTTTAGTCTCAACAATATCTCGGTCGACTTCGAAGAGGGTGTGGGTGTGCGTAAGATTCTCTTGTTACATCCATACCCACCACACTCCACCCACCCACAGCCCACAGCTACAGCTACACCCATACCCACACCCCACACCCACCCGCACCCACACCCCTGTTGGAAATATTACCTAATGAATTGTTACTCGAATTATTTGAATATCTTGTTGCTGCTAAACTTTTTCAAGCCTTTTGAAATCTGAATATTCGTTTTAGTACTGTTTTTTTCATACAATTCCGTCGCTATCGTGTTAATTTTCATTCTTTCTTCAAATATCAAACTTATTTTCTCTCTCGACATTTAATTCCATTGATTAATAATCAAACTATTTCCATTTGTCTCTCAGACAATGGGCATGATGGTCCATCTCGAACAAATTTCTTCTTGTCTTCTGGTCTACAGATTCGTCGATTTATATGTTTACGATCACTTGTATTGTGCTACATTAGTAATGACACAATATTATGCAATATATTAGGTGATTGTCATCAACTCGTTTATCTTACTCATCTTAAAATCATTAATTGTTCTTCAGTATATACGAATTCTGTTGATTTTTCTAATACAATCTGGAGTTTATCGACACTCACTCATTGTCGTTTGGATATTCAATGCAATTTCTCGATTCCAACAACGGTTTCATTATCTCTTATATATCTTTCAATTTCATCTCAATCTTGGACATTGAGTCAAATCATTGAACTTTTTCAGCAAACGTCTTCTGTTCAACGTTTTCATACACTACTCAAGAGATTAAAAGAAAATAAATATCAAAAGCTACCTTCTATTCCATCGATGGCAATGTTAAAATTATCTCATGTTTATTCATTTGATACAATGGTGAATATTTTACAAGCTATGCCTAATTTAACAAATTTGAAAGTGGATACATTCTTTACTGACTGTGATGGATATCGATGGGCAGAAATGAGAGACAATTACTTACCTAAATTGAAAATATTTCGTCTTCAAATCCATATGAAACTTCTTGATAAAAGTCACAATGCACGATATGTTTATGAATTGGTTGATTCATTTCGAAATCGATTTTGGCTTGAAAAGACATCAATGGTATATTCGTTGTCATGATAGATCGGATGATCAATGCATGAACATTTTTCTTAATACTCTACCTTATGCCTTCATTAATTTCAATTTGGATAAATTTCAAAAATCATATAAATCAACCTGTCCTCAAGATAATGATTATTTTTCATACGATCGAGTGGATAATCTTTCTTATAATTCTTCATTATTGATAGATTATTCTGGTATGGTACGATTTTATAATATTCGTAACATGAATATTGGATTATGTCTTGATAAGAAATTTTGGAAAAAAATCCAAAATTTTATCAGTTAACTTCGATTACTGTTTTAAAAACTGATAATGATGCTGAAGATCATCTACAATCATTACTTGATCGAGCACCTAATTGATATTCATTAACTATTCAATCATGGCCATCTGCTCATTCACCGTTAATCAAAAATATACATACATCCGTTCGTCGGCTCAATTTACGGATTAATGATTTAGCACAAAGTTATTTATCGTACAATAATGAAGCATGTAAAACTTTTATTCAATGTTGATTAGCTATACAATGTGAAGAACTTTTACTTAAAGTTCGTAATCTTCAAAATATACTGGATCTTATCAATAATATGTATAACCTTCGGCTCTTACTAATTAATATTGATTTTAGATTCAGTCCATTTCTTCCAGTAGTGTAGAACTCGTTAAGTCGTTACGACTATTCAACTATTCAACGACTATTCAACTATTCAACTATTCAACTATTCAACTTTTCAACTATTCAACTATTCAACTATTCAACTTTTCAACTATTCAACTTTTCAACTATTCAACTTTTCAACTATTCTACTATTCAACTATTCGACTATTCAACTATTCAACTATTCAACTATTCAACTATTCGACTATTCAACTATTCAACTATTCGACTATTCAACTTTTCAACTATTCAACTATTCGACTATTCAACCATTCAACTTTTCAACTATTCAACTATTCAACTTTTCAACTATTCGACTATTCAACTATTCAACTTTTCAACTATTCAACT